GCATGTCAAAACTGATGACATGCTCTTTAAGCTTCAAACTAAAACGGTGTCTCCTTTGGATGCCTGCAATTACATCCTACAATTTTTCAATTGTAAGTCTCTGGACTACTGTCTTCCCCGTTTCATATTTAATTTATGTAGTTTATTTAAGTTTTGAATTATCCACGCTATGCAGCATTTTAATGGGGATCATGCACTTTGAACACGTCGTAGTCTGTTTATCCTTGCAAATAATTTAAGACAGACACATTTTAATTGTTGAATTAATTGCACGAAAACACGTGGTATCACTAAATGATTAAGGGCTTGGCACATCTTCTATTTTTTGACGTGACTTACAAGTATTGACCCATTTCCTCGTCATTTGGAGGAGGGAAAGCAATAATGTTGGTAAATAGATTGCTATTCTGAATACATATTTCAAGTAGAAAATTTGGTCTGCTGCGGTAATGGAATTCTCAGGTTGGTTTGGTTTGATGAATAGACTGGCAGGAATTTGATGGAAGATTTTACAAAAGTTTTCGTGATCCGGAGGGATCTCTACTTGAGTTTGGTAATATAGATTTTCGATGCTCATTAGTATGGGACATGGGGCCATCGGTTATGACTGGGCCTGGAGTGAGCAGGATGTGACATTCATATGGAGCAATTAGATGAGCCTATACAACTGTCTGTTATGCACACGCCTTTAGTACAATAAATTAAGAGGAAAATGGAAGGGAAAATGAGTTGGTGTCATGGTTATAAAAGGGGAAATTCCCAGGAATAATGGCTATAAATGCAGTTGAAGTGCCTCATTCTAATTTTTATTAAGCCATGCTTAGAAGTTAAGGAAGCAGAAGGGATGACGTGCGAAGGGGAGGGATGGAGTAGAAAGGAACTGTCTTTCCTTCCTTGGTATTCACAATGATAGAAGGAAAGTGAAGGGAAAAAGTTACTGGTTTAGATACTCCAATCTAACATTTATTAACTTGTTTTGAATTGATTTGATTGTAATTGTGAATTTGGTATGTTACTAGTTTTCTTCTAATCCCATCCCCTTTCACCCTCACCATTAGCTCCTATTGAAACTCATTATTCTTGCGAAGTTTACGTAATGAAAGCGCCTGCTTGATTTTGGCTGGATGCTGATAATATATGACATCTAACTGTTTGAAGAAATTTCTGATTTTTGCCTGTTTGATTTTAGCTGGATACTGATAATATATGACATCTAACTGTTTGAAGAATTTCTGATTTTCAGATGCAGATGGCATGTCAGACTTTCCTGCTTCCGGTATATCTTCAAAGGATTTGTCAGCATCTCAAGCTAATCTTAGAAAGGAAGCAACATCTCTTTCACAATCTAATTCTCTAATGTCAAAATATACTTATAACTCGAGCTATTCAAGGTCACAATGTGATGCTCTGTCAAATGATCTTCATCAGAAAGATATCAAAGCTTCCATCTTAAATGAATTGAAAAGTGAGAGTGAGTTCCAGCTGGGGGCCCTGTTAAGAAAAGGTGGGCTTGATAGCTTGGAGAGCATTGTGAGGATTAAGGAAGCGGAGGCCAGAATGTTCCAAACCAAGGCAGATGAAGCCCGGAGAGAAGCTGAAGGGTTCCAGAGGATGGTGAGGACGAAAATTGCGCAGATGGAAGAAGAGTATGCTGAAAGGCTTGCCAAGCTCTCTCTCCAAGAGACTGAGGAAACGCGGAGGAAGAAATTGGAGGAATTGAAGGTCTTAGAAAATTCCCATTGTGATTACTTTAAAATGAAAATGAGAATGCAAGCTGAGATTGCCGGTTTGCTGGAGAGAATGGAGGCAACGAAGCAGCAATGGGTTTAACTTAGTACAAGAATAATTTATTTTTAAGAATATGCTAAAATGGGTGTAATTTATTGATATGGTGCCATATGAATGTTCTGTTTCTCGCTAGAATAAGTTATTTTTGGTCGATAAATTTGAATATTGGTAGTGCTTAATCCATCAGTTTACTTCACATGTTGAGAGCCCAATTGCTAAACCAGTGATTTTTGCTCTTTTTACCCCCTAATGCACGGGAGCCTAAGTGTTAGGCTGGGGTAAGTTTCTTTGTCATCTGATATTTTACACTTGCTTATGGCTTTGACCTTATTTCTCTGCCCCACACTTGATATAATATCATCTCCTGTGAACTGTTACGCGCACGTTATTGCCCTCTGCAAGTAGAACATATCTTCTAATCGTCCTCTAAAAGCTTGCAATTCTTAATAATTCCGTCTCTGCTTGACTGCTTCTTAAGACCTACAGTAAAATCCATGTTATGTTTTGAGGAAAATAGGAAAAAGAAGTAGGAAAGAAAAATTTTCATGAGCTCGATTTAAAATATAGAAAAAATAGGATTGTAAAATTTTAATAAAGAAAGAATATAAAACAAAAAAGTAATAAAATTAATTAAAAGTTTTCAGCTTCACTTTATTAATTTTTTAAATTGAGTTTATCAAAATTTTTCGTCTCCTCCTCCCTTTTATTTTTCTTATACCACATGAAACCTTAGTTCTTTGATCTTGGGAATCAGTTTCGATACTCATCACTTTAATGAACACCTTAAACTTATCAGATCTGGATCATTTATATCTTATTTTGATGATCAAGATTTAATTTCTTTTTTATTTTTATTTATTTATTTAAAATAATTATTTTAATATGTATAAAATCTAAAATAGATATAATCTCTTAACTATCATTCTTTCAAAAAAAATAGTTTTTTCTATTTAAAAATAATTAATTAAAGATTTTAAATTTGAATTGTTCAAATCAAACATAAATAGTCCAAATTTGATGGGATCAGAATACTCATCAAGATAATAAGCACTAAAACTGATTCTTTGACCTTGTGGGTGGAGCATAGAGGGGCAAAGATAGTGGTCGCTTAAATTGTGGGATTTATTTAAGGGAAAATTTCACTGTAGGACCGTACAAGACAATTAATCTCAAAGAGCCCCCAAAACTTTCTGAAACTTCACTGCAGGACCAAGGGGCCAATCTGATATTAATTCCACAAACGAAATGACGACACTGCCCCTAGTAGAAGGGAACAAGTGCGGAAGAGTGCATTTACAAGGGGAACTAGCCAATTTGCAGAATAAATACATATGTTCACACGTGGAATCAGTCCGTTCACATGTGGACTGGTTCACCTGATGAATGCGTCCGTGAGGGAACAAGTGCGGGAGAACGCATTTGCAAGGGAAACTAGCTAATTTACAGAATAAATACATATATTCACATGTGGAATCAGTCCGTTCACATGTGGACTAGTTCACCTGATGTATGCGTTCGTGAGGAAACAAGTGCGGGAGAGCGCATTTGCAAGGGGAACTAGCCAATTTACAGAATAAATACATATATTCACACGTGGAATCAGTCCGTTCACATGTGGACTGGTTCACCTGATGTATGCGTTCGTGAGGAAACAAGTGCGGGAGAGCGCATTTGCAAGGGGAACTAGCCAATTTACAGAATAAATACATATATTCACACGTGGAACCAGTCCGTTCACATGTGGACTGGTTCACCTGATGCTAAGGGTAGTGGCGTCATTTCGTTTGTGGAATTAATATCAAATTGGCCCCTTGGTCCTGCAGTGAGATTTCAGAAAGTTTTGGAAGCTCTTTGAGATTAATTGTCTTGTGCGGTCCTACAGTGAAATTTTCCCTTTATTTAATTTAGTGCCCTCTGCAACTGTGGGAGCATTTTCTTTCTACTTCTTTTTTTTGGCGATAATTTTCTTTCTACTTCTTGAATTTGATGATTGGGCATGGCAAACTTGGACATGGCGATTCTTTTTCTTTTTTTTACCTTCCCAATTTTAATGTCATAATGACACTTAATGAATCAGCTTAACTTGAGTTCCTTTTTTTCCCCATACAAACTTGAGTTCCTTATAATTTTCTCCTTTTGTGTTATAACTTGACCTTGTGTTATTATGTTTCAGTGAAAAAATTAAATTTTATTAATTACAATTTAAATTTTAATAATTTTTTAATTTTACTTATATTTAATATTTACATAATAATAAATGAATGGCAAAAGTATATATTAATGTAAAAGATTTAATGATATAAGTTATTAAAAAAAAAAAGTATCTTCTTCCTCCAGCTTCCGCATCACGGCGAGCGCGTTTTTTGGTTGAGTTTGATATGTGATGACTTTTTAAACGTTCTTCGTTTATTAATGATGAATGTTATTACCAAAATCCAATTTGCACCTGGTTTAAAGAAATTGCAATTTCTATGCTTCTCTTGCATTTTTTATGTGTTATCTTAAAATAGAAAAATATGATGGATATCTCCATTATCCATTGTCCTTACTTCTTGCTAAGGGGTGTTTGGTTATTTCCAAAAATGCTTTCTAAAAGTATTTTTTTACAAATTGAGATAAACTTATCTACATATTTATTTGGTATACTATAAAATCACTTTTTAAATAATGGTTTGGTTTCCATTTAAACACTTCCTAAATTCTTTTCATGGATTATTCTTATATTGAAAATATTTTCAATTTAAAATATAATTTTATTTCTTTTATCTCCATGAATCATAAAGACAAAAATAAATCATTTTTTTATTTGGTGAAAATCTCATGTTGATTTGTTTTTTCATTAAAAAAAAAGTGTTTTGCAATTCAACGATCATATATACTTTATATTGTTTCAACAGTAAAACATTTGATACCCACAATTCAGAAAGCCTCAATTCAACCAGTAACACTGCCCTTTAAGAAGGCCAAAATAAAGTCTGGTGCTTTTTCTTTGAAATCCCCTACAAAGAAAACTACACGACAAACAAGAGGCTGGAGTTTTGTTTGTGTGTATATATATAGAAAAGAGTGAAACAAACATGAATCTGTGAGAGCATGCATGAGCGGGTGATAAATAATTAAGTGTGAATAATTGTGAATTAAAACAGTATAATAATGTTTAATACTACTACTACCATAAAGGGAAGAAACCGCTGATTATTTCATGGCGTCGATCAGTAGTCTGCGGGGAGAGTAACAGAGAGGCCAACAGTGACAGCAAAGAGGAATAGCAAAAGAGCAGAGAAATTGAGGACGAGACCCTCTTGGCTGCGACCAAGTTTCAGATACTGGAAGCGTTGGACAAGGCCCGTCTCTGCTGTGCACACTGCCAGCAGAAATATGACCATCCCCATGAGCCTGTGCCATGGCTTCATTGAAGCTCTCCTTGACATTTCTGCTCCTGGGAAGAAAAATGTGAAGAACGCCAACAAGTACTGTCGTCACAAAAACAACAGCAACATTAATTAATGGGTTCGTTTTAATTCATTCTTCATTAGATTTATTATGATGATAGATACCTGCAAACCAAAAGAGCAGATGGCAATCATGCCGAACCAAGAGTGTAAGGTGTAGATGTGATAATGAAGATGAACCTCTTCCTTATAAACTGTAATAACTCCAAGAATTCCAGATGCTAGAGCTATCAGATGCAGCAGCATGTGTGCCACCTTCAACGATCTTCTTTTTGCTTCTAAAGCCTTGTGCACTATTATTGCTGTTTCAACCCATATATAATTGCATGTGTTGTTAGTTACACACACACACACACACACATATATTGAGGCTAATAGTGAAGAGGGACTACTTGATGATGCGGGTTATTACGCACGTACCTTCTCCTCCGACTAAAACAAAGCCGATCATCATCAAGAGAGTATGAAACTGCAGAGAGAGAGAGAGAGAGAGAGAGATTGTAAGAAACAAGCATACATGTAAAACAGAGAAGAAGTGATCACAGTAGGATTGTAACAGATGAAGTAGAAGACATTGATGAGCTTGGGTTTGCTGGGGGAATTGAAAGCGAAGCCTCCACGGAATCTGAGAAGCCAAATGAACACAAGAGTGGTGACAGCGATGAACAACAAGTGGGCAAAAATGGTGACTGGAAATGCGTGTAGTTGGTAGCTGCGAGGCATTTTTGGAGTATTGAACGAAGAGAAGAATAATTTCTGATAAATTGGAAGAAGCTAAGGATCGGAGTCGGTGTTTCTGGTAAAGGAGAAGCAGTATAAATGAAACAATGGTTAAAAACGGAAAAGAACCAAACACCGGCGACACGGCGAAGGTCGGAAGAACCGACGTCGTACGTCTGGCCGGCTGCTATTTGGTGACAACTTCTATGAAGTGAAGCATTTTATAGTGAGTATTAGGATTTTATTTATTTACTTTGATGAATCATCTGTTAAAAATGATTGGTGCAGTTATTCCCTTAGTCAACTATGATATATTTTATTATGGAATTTATAATTCGGCAGTCCAATAAAATTAATTGAGATCATTAATTTTTTTTTTTAAAGAAAAGGTCCATTTTATTAATTTTTTTTAAAAAATCATTGCACTCGCTTCACAGAAACGAAAAACAAAGAAAGCGGGTTAGCCCAGATACAACCTTGGTAGTATTATTTCTTCTGAGAGTACTATGGGCTGGCCAAGAAAGTAATAAAACGTTGAAGCATCCGAGAGGGAAAAGTTTGTCCAATTATTTATACATTAATTGTAGTTATGCTCGTGTCAAAGGAAAATGACAAACACAAGATTCCTTTCATGATCTTTGATGCTTTGGATGGCCAGACGTGCCTCGTAAGAATTGGCCTTTGGCCTTTTCCATTACATGTAGAATTATTTTAGAGTTGTTAAGGAATGATATTTTTTGACAAAAAAAATGTTGACAAAAAATAATTGATATGCCTAAAATTACATATAGAGAGAAGAAAAATATGCTTATATTAAGTTTCTTATATTTATTATGTTAAGTTGTCTAATTAGTACATTTAAAACGGAATAAGAACCTAACAATTCTAAGATAAGATATACTATATATCCTTGAATTAATATGCGTTGCATTTTGTATAATCACATTATACAACGTTACTTGTTTACTCACTCAACAAGATTTTTCTTCAAGTTTATGGCTTTATAATAAAATAAATACCCTTCATAATTCAGATTGATTTAATTTATTTACTGAATGCAAATATTTATGGAAAAAAATCAAATATATATCGTTTAAAAATCAAATGAGCCGCTTTAATAAGAAGCACATAGCAATGCCGTCATAAGTTCAGAAGAATGTGAAAAAAAAAATATTTATGCACACCGTGTTATTATTATTTGCAGGAAATGAATAGTGGAGTTATTACAAAATCAATTGAAAAACTTGAAAACAAAAGAAAGCATATGAATATTGGAAATGAGAGCATAGACGATGGAGAAGAATGATTCAGACATAATGGGCAAGACCAACGGAAAGATCAACGAAAACACCGAACAAGAGAATAGCGAGGCCGGTGAAGTTCATGAGACGTCCTTCTCCATATCGCAGAATGCTGTTCAGCCTCAGGAACGTGTACTTCTCCATTAAACCTGTGAGAGCCGCGCATATTCCCATGTACAGCAAAGCTCTCCCTCCAGCTATGTGCCACGGAGCGATTTTAAACCTTGTTACGTCCGGAGCTCTTCCCATGAACGTGAAGAATCCAATCACCCACTGCAATATATATATATATGGAATTCATCCCTTCTTCTTCTATAATATCATCTTTACAGGGTCGATCGTATAATGATGAACACACACACACACGTACCTGTATGCCGTACAAGACGAAAGTGCCGATGCCAATCCAGGAATGGAGGCTGAACACGTCCTCCAAACGGGCCATGTCGTGGAACTTGAACACTGCGCATAAACCAACAATTCCCAGAACGAAAGCAATCAAGTGAAGTAACATGTGCATGAACTTCTGGGTCGACCTCTCGCTTGGTATCGTATGGTATGCCATTATTGCTGCTCATAATCACACACAAAATTAGCGTTACTTTGCATGCACGATATCAGTACTGCAAACACACCATGCTGATCTCAAGATTATTGGTATATACCTTGACCCGACATGAAAATATAACCCATGAACATCAGAAGAGGGTGAACCTGCGTACGTAAGATTTTGATGTTAAAAAGAAGACGAACTTGTTTATATAAGGGAATGGGTGTGTGTGTGTGTGTGTGTGTTGTGTTATACGTACGTTGAAGACTCGGTATCCATCGGGAGAATCATATTCAATCCCCTCACGATAATGCAGCAACCAGATAAGCAGGAGGATGATGGCGAGGATCCCAAACAATTGAGCAAAAATGGTAATGCGAGAGGCACGGCGCCTGTAAACCACCGTATCCATATCCATTGTGGCAAACGCAGATTTTGGATAGCTCTGGGACTCTGAAAAGTTTGTGTCGTCTTGTGATTCTGATATGGTGGTGTGTCGTTAAGGTTCTTATATATAGATTAGATACTCACTGTTTTTCGGCTTTACGAAAGGGAGGGAGAATTGCTTGATCGGTTGGTTTTGGAATTTAGATCACAGAAAACTTTGAGCTTTAGCAAGCATCTTTAACAATTTGTGCCTCAAGTGCACAAAACAACAAAAGAGGATATATTCTTGATTATAATTTGGAAGCCAGCATGTATTATGTAGCAAGTGTCCCCCATAACGTAGAATCCAGTTAAACCCAACTCTATTAGTTTTCAAGTGGGCCCAAATGATCTGGCGTTGTTCTTAACCATGAGGATTGGCATATTTGGATTCAGAGCACATGGATCACATAATCATTCAAGAGTTCTTCTCATTGGCTCATACATCTGAAAATCACGAATGTATCAGATATATAATTCAGCTGATAAAACATAAGGATCATGAAATAGTAGTGAATGTGGTTATTTTCTCGTTGGTTAATTTAATCACTGAATCAAGAAAACAGTTGAAAATTTATAAATACATATGTGTATGTGTGTGTCTGGTAGGTGTACTTACTAATATTTTGAACATCAGAATCATTAAGGTACGTAATGTGAAATGCAGAAGAAATTTGAAATGAGATGAAATGAGAGAGTGCGTGTGTGAGATCAAAACGGAAAGTTGAAAAGGAATGAAGGCATTCATCTTTAACAAGAAAAGTATCTTTCACAGATAAAATATATATATATATATTTTTTGCTAAAGCATGAGTATTCTCTTGTTGGAGGCAATCCTATTCGAGGCACTGTCGGGTATTAATGTGAGCACCTCTCCCAGCGAGGATTCGAACCTTGGTTCGTTACGTTGTGAGGGATTAGCCCCTTTCAGTAGACCTAACCCTCATTGGCACAGATAAAATATACTGCTGTCCCACACATTCATAAATGATTTGGTTTCTGAGAAACTGAAAATGGATGAAGAGGTTACTTTTCTTTTGGACAAAGCTCTGTCTCCGATGTGCTTTGTGGTGGTAAAGTATGGGCTTACCTTATCCATTTGCCTCCGATGTCCGATCATCATGTGTGTCCATCTATCTCGCTAGCAAGCCCTATTGGGCTCACGACCCATTTTAGCCCAAAAAGGCCGAATAATACACACTGGTTAGTATATTGGGCCCCCCAAAAAAAGGGTCTAAATCCAGGTCACTATTCCGATATTACCCCACTTATCATTTCAGCTCATCCAGAGTAATTTCCTGATGCTAGAATTTTAACTGCTTTGCAAGGATTTATAAACCATCAGAAGTAGTCTATTATAATCAAGTCGCAAAGAAACATAGCCAAGTTTTCATATTAATCTCCTAAATTTTAAAAAAATCTCAAACTTTAATTTGGTTTCAAATTCTCATCCTTGCTGTCATCCGAGTCGAGAGGAAGATAGAAAAAGCTTGGGCAGTGTATGTTGATGAGGCTGCAATAACAAGGACCACACTCTAAAGTTGAAGGTTCTTCCCCCCGCAATTTTAATCATGCCTCATAATGACCCCTGTGAATTTCTTATATATTAGGGCAAAATGCAAATCAGTCTGCGATCTCAACTTAAACCCTTTTGTACTTTCTCTTCCCTCAATTCTAAGCTTCATCCACTCCATCACTTGACTTTTTTGTCCAAAATAATCCTAGTTATATTTAATCAAGAAATTAGTCACTCCATTTCAAAAACAAGGCAGGAGGAATTGCGGATTTAAAATTATTGTTGAGCTAGCTGTGAGAGTGCAGCTTGTAGCTGGCTGGCTATGATTGAAGTAAGAATTAGGTTAAGTTTTTCACTGCAATTCTAAAATACTTTAACTCTCGCGAGCATACTAAAATCTATGGTCATCATTGATGTATTTCTTTTTCATTAAGAATTTCATATTCATAGGATTGGCAAACAGATATCATGGAGGCACATATACTCTTCTTAGTGGTTGTCAGATAAGCATAGCCACTCTGATAGAGACATTTGCCTCAATTCATTTGCCTACTTTTGCTTTTTATCCTCCTTTGTTAATTCCTTACATAGTTTTCTGCCATGTTCAATTATATAACGTTGAGATTCTACTTTTTGCCATGGTTAGATGTCTATTTCCTAGGTCAATTTGTTCGGTTAAACCTAGGATTGGCTTTTTACATAAGCTTCTGGTTTACGTAATTGTATTGTTTCCATAATGCATATGGGGGGGGGGGGGAAGCATCTTGAAACAATAATTCAGATGTGTAGATATATAAAATTGGGAGAGAACAATTCCCTAAATTTTGTGGAATGTGTGCACATGTGAACAACTATTAAAAGACCACAAGAAGATTGGAGTTGTTGCAATTGTAGGAAAATTTCTTCGAAATCACGACATCCTTTAATTTGCATAGTTAAACTGAGAATTAAAATTAATAAAAATGATGCGATTAATATAATCGCAATTACTAATTACTCCTATGATATTCTATTTTTCATTTAAAATAAACACTAAACTTACGCACGTATACATGCGAGTTCCTTTAGAAGAATTGTTTCACATATCATATTTTTTATGAAGAATCTGATTTAAATAGATAGAGCACTACGTTTTCCCCCCTCACTTTATAAATCTAAGGTCCCATTTGGTACGAAGCAATGAAAATGAGAGATTGAGATTAAGATTACAATTGAAAAAAATCATTAAAATAGTATTTAGCATGAGTAATTGCTTATTATATGGGATTAGGCAAACCCATAGAGGTGAGATTGGGGAATACTACTTCCCCCATAATATTCTCCAATTTCACATACATGGGTTTGGCTAATCCCATATAACAAGCAATATTTTATACTAAACACTCTTTTAATAGATTTTCTCAATTGTAATTACAATCTCAATCCCTCATTTTCAATAATTCTTACCAAATGTAACCTAAGATCCAAGAAGGTCTTAGTCTATTCATATATATTTTTATAAGTTGGATATGTGAATAAAGAGGAGGATGTGTATGAATCGCACGCAGAAGACATAGCATGCATCTACATATATAGGCTGATATTAATTAAATGTTTGTGCAGGTAAATATGAAACTATGTAGATGCATATAGGTGAGATAATAAGTTGGGGTGTGTGCGTAGAACAGAACATACATAGGAAAATTGAGAAAAAAGGATTGATAAAGACGTAGAGAAATGGTAGTGCCGTAGAAAGCAACTCATATATATATATAAATATATATATATGCAACAAACAAAAGAAAGAAGGGCAACCGAGTGGGCATCTTTACTTTGATGTATATATATTTGACGGCACCTTATTCAGTGTCATTATATATCAGCCGCCTGCTAGTTCCAAGGCTTTTTAATTTATATTTACATGTGTGTTATATATTTTTGAGAGCTCCAAAAATTGATGCAGATTTTATGATACTGTCTAATAGGGGTATATATTATATAACTAAATGGTGGCTCCACTGCAACAACATCAGCCTCATACGTCTGTGGATGTTTTGGTTAAAAGGCAGAGGTTGTTGAGTCACAATCCAGAATACGAGTAAAGAGGGTTGGATCATATTCATCTCATTCTCCCTTCCCTTATCTTCTCACAGTTGTCTCAGAAAATGACTCGGCCTGCCATATATGAACCGCCACTTTCAGGCTGTCTCTTTCAGCATATGAGAGAGAGATAGAGAGAGAGCATCAACTCTATGCATATACCTTTTGAAGTAACCCTCACATTCTTAAATGCATGGCCGCCTTGTTTGTTTTTCTGCTAAATTACAAGTATTTGAAATGGAAATATTGAAGCCACAGCTTTAGGGTATGGCTTTTCAAGAATTGAGTGGACGAACAAACATGTTCCAATATCCGTTCATGGCATTGGCTGTGAAAAGAGGGGAAAGGGACTTTCACCAGCGATGATGTGTCAAGCTGGGGCTGAGCTGTGCCAACTAAATAGATATTAATTTGATCATTACTAATATATAATATATATATTCTTCTAAATATTCTGACCCTAAACCAATCTTTTTGTTTTAAGTATTCCAAATAAACCCTCCTCCCGTACATTTTTTCTAGTGCCCTGTATATGTCTTCATCTGGATATCAAACAATATCTTTAAGCCGTTCAAGCTTTAGCCTTTAAGAAATGAAGATGTTGCTTATCTTCCTTCTTAATTAATTACCTCATCCCTTTCTCTTTTACAAATCCACGGTGGAAGTTATATTTAGACTCCACCACATCATATATGCAAGTGCAGCAGCACTATATGACGAATTTCTGTATAAAAATTCTACATATACATATATCACATACAGTTTGGCTAGTGATTAAATTCAAGTCTTTCTATGCTAGCTTTGCACGTACAAGTTAGAGCCACCCATTTATTGCCCCAGAAAAAAAAAAAACTAATGCAATCACTATATAAATTAATATTAACTGCCCCTTAGCATATTTGCCATGATAATATAGCAGTAATAGCATTGGGAAAACTGCTGCTGCACGTAAGGATTAGCTAGTAATACTTATGGTTCTAATTATAAGACCCAGTTGACTAATTTGAGGAAATTAAGGAAGTAAGTTGAGTTAGTTATTTGTAATAAATAGGTGTTGTCTTTCTTAAAATATCCTTACTAAGCGATTATATTGGCTAGAACTACAATTATTAGAGGGACTACCTTGAAAAAAATGTATAAATATGAGAGACAAAGTGAATTGGGATCTTATATTTAGAACCAAAATAAAATCAAACAGGGTCTTATATTAAGAACCAGAGATAATAGTAGTTTTTAGCAGTGTTTAGCTAACCTTTGAGCCCAACTATATTCCATTTTTGTAGCATAAATAATTTTTAATTACCATTTTTGATAGATACGTAACAAGCCATATAATATATATATATATATATATATATATCTTACAAATGAAATCTGATGTATGAGTAACAATAATGTTCATGATTACTTGTGAATACTACTACTTACTATCTATACATATATATATATA